AAAACGTATGATATGTATATAAATAATGTGATAGCGAAATGGGATATTAACATGATTTTAAGTTATTTAAATGAATCATTTATCGTATGGTATGAAGAAAATTTTAAATCAAAACCTGATAAACTTTTTGAACTTGATGAAATAAATAACCTTATTAAATTTCCGCTGAAAATTAAATTTTGTACTCCTCATCTTCGTTCATTGTTGGGGATATTAAATTTTGAAAAAGATGTTGGGGATGTTTTGTATTCTGACACTGGTTCCAATTTCATTTTAATCAAATGTGATAAAGTTAATACCCCAATGAGATTTTCACATCAAACATTAGACCCTAACTCTTACCCATCAATACAAAACATTTTATCCATCAACTTAAACACATTTTCTTTATCATATCCGTTTCAATTATCTGGGAATTCATTTATTCTTCATTCAAAAGATTTATCAAATATTAAATTTAGAATAACTGACCTATTTGATTGTGATTTAGAATTCATGAATGAAATATTATGGCAATTTCAAATAGAGAAAATAGCTGATGAGATAACGGATTAAATATTTATTTTTAAATCATAATAAATGATTAAACCACAACAACTTAAGGCGCAAAGCACCCAGGTCCTTCAGACCATTAAATACGCCATATATGCATATAATTCAAAGATGGCAGAACAAACGCAAAGGTTGAAATATGGAGATTTGGAGATAGTATTGAAAAATGACATTTCGAATTCGTTTGCAAAGGTGGTGCAGTGATATCAAATATAAAAGAAATTTTATTTATGAATTCAAAAATTAAAGGAATAAAGGATGATATAACATCAATTCCACCAGAAGAACAGAGATATTACGCATTAAATGCATTTCCTAAAATTTTGAAGATTGGAAGATTTAATTTAAATGAGGAATTCATAGAAGGTTTCCTAAATGACATAATGAAGAAGGCGGATAAAGAATATGTGGATAGTGAGTTATAAGAAGGCAAATTTGGTTTATGTTGATGAAAAAGATAATGAAATTAAAGAAAAGGTTGAATGGTATCATGAATGGACATGAGACTTTTAAAGTTAAAGCTGATACAGGATGGGTTTCAGGATGTTTAGACCTTAAAGCAGATAAAACTTATGTTGATGAAAATTATGCAAAGAAGTCGGAAGTAAATGATGTGATTACAAGCATGAAAAATGAAATTCTTCAAACATTATATCCTGTTGGTTCTATTTATACGTCAATGAACTCAACAAATCCATCAACAGTTTTAGGTTTTGGTATGTGGAAGCAGATTGTAGATAAATTCTTATACTGTGCTAGATATTCAAAGCAAACAGGAGGTTCGAAGAAAATTAAAGAAGCAAACCTTCCACCGCACACTCATACAGGAACTACAAACACAACAGGAAATCATTCACATTCAATAACAAAAAGAGGTTATACAAATCTTGCAGCGGGTTCGGATAGATGGGGAATGAATAGATATGATATCACAACTGACCCAGTAGATTCAAGCACAGGTATTTTCTGTGGAACCGCAGGAAATCATTCACACACTTTCACAACAAATCCAACAGGCTCGGGTAAAGATTACATGCCACCATTTGTGACTGTATTCGCATGGTACCGCGTTCATTGAATGTGCTTGAGACTTGACCCAAAGGGTTTAGGCTTACCGAATGAACTAAATATATTTTATGTCTGTAATTAATTAGGTAATGAAGTAATGGATGAACTGCAGAAATAATGTTTACGTTAATGGTTTTTAGGTTATTCAATAATTAATTATTTTTGAAGAACTGAAGGTGCTACCATGTTACCATGTGCTACCAGGTTAATTAACTTCTCTGAAAAAATGAGACAACATGACATTTTGACAACATTCCTGGAAATAAATGTTTACGTTAGTTTTAAAATTATTTTTATTTTTTTATTTTGTATGTAAGAACAGAAATGTCAGTCGAATCAAAAACATTTACGAACAAATCTAATGGCGAAACATTCACAAAAGGCACTTATAACGGTATTGAAGTCTTACGTAGAGACAAGGATGGTTACATTAATGCAACAAAGATGGCAAGAGAAGCGGGAAAGTTAAACCATTTAAACAGATTTCTCAATAGTGCTAAAATGCAGGAAATTCTTGAGTTTTGGTTGAAAGAATACGGTGGAGCCAAAAGTGGCTCGACCTCAAAACAAGCATTTTATGAGCTTACAAAGGGTGTTATAAATGAATTCAAAGGTATTTACATACATCCTGACCTCGTTCATTTTGTTGCTGAATGGTGCTCTGTAAAGTATGCATTTTATGTCAAAGATATTATGGACTCCATAGACAAGAAAGTTCATGAGAAGTTAGATGAAGAAGAACTCGAAGATACAGTAGAGAATGCTAAACCTTTGTTCGAACAAGAAGTTAGAAAAATGTGCGAAAAACAATTAGAACATGAACGTGAGTTATGTTATGGTTATAGAGATTCTCCATTCGAACTAGACCAATGGGAACAAGAAAATTTAAAGAGAGAATTTAGAGAATATGAACTCGCTAAGATAGCATTAGAAGCTGCAGAAAAGAAGTTAAAAGCTTGGGGTCGTTTTGTACAAAAATATTGTGAGTAAATGAACCATTTATTTTTGTCATAAACGACCAAAAATATATTTTATCGTTAATGTTTACGTTAAGTGACTCAAAGAGTCCGGAGACAAAGTCTCATGTTTTCAGGTTATTCAATAATTAATTATTTTTGAAGAACTGAAGGTGCTACCATGTTACCATGTGCTACCAGGTTAATTAACTTCTCTGAAAAAATGAGACAACATGACATTTTGACAACAACACAGGAGGAAGGCACTTATGAATTATTTTTGAAGAACTGAAGGTGCTACCATGTTACCATGTGCTACCAGGTTAATTAACTTCTCTGAAAAAATGAGACAACATGACATTTTGACAACAGTCCTGGAAATGATTTGTCATGACTTCATCGTAATGAGTGTAAATGACCCAAAAATAATGTTAGTTTTAAAATTATTTTTATTTTTTTATTCCTATATAAATGACAGCAACAAACAACAACAGCAACTATATCGTTTCTGATGAAAAAGTTATTGATTCATTAGCTGAGGAATTAGTTGTGGCAGAAACTAAAACCCTCAACGAAAGAATTGGTGAAAACAAGATTGATTTACATAACTACCTCAAACATGATGGAGGAAGAGGAAGGAAAACTGGTATGGCTTTATTAGTAAATAAAATTTCAAATTTAACGATTATAGATGTTGATATCAATAAATCATACAATGATGAACTTAAAGAAACAGTTAGAAAAGATATTTTATCAAAACTTTCGGATAAAGATGTTATCGTTAAAACCGCTTCAGGAGGTCTTCACATTTATTGCAACACTAATTTCTTCTATTCAACCTCGAACAGAATGATTAAATGTTATTCCTGCAATGATTATGATATTGACATAATGACTTCAATGGATGAATCAAAGCGTTCTTTAGTAGTTATGGCTGATTCAAGAGTTCGCAAGAATGCAACAGAACCAATCAATACATACTCATTCATTCGTGGAAGTTATGACTCGACCATAACCAGAACAGTGAATGATATATTAAATGATTTGAATATTAAGGTAAGAGTTGAACAGAAGAACGAAGAAATAAAGACTATCATGAATGAAAACAAAGATGTACACATTGACGATAAACTTGCCCAGAGCATAGTTGATGGCATCAGTGATTTTGAAGTACATAATGACGGTGGAAACATGAATTTAGAAAAAGAAGTTACATTATTCACACTGTTTCAAGCAATTAATTCGTTACCTAATCATTTAATTAATGAAGCCTACGATAACGTTTATAACTTCTGCAATTTAACTGAAAATGCAAAAAGTAATTTTGAAAAAGCACGTAGTAGATATGCACATTTAATGACTTCTCCATTTGTTTTGGTGAAGATTCTAAAACTTTATCAAAAGGAATATTATGATGAATACGTTTTACCTTTATTACGTAAGCCAAAAATAACATTTGATATAAAACTTGATGACTCGTTTTTGATAACAGATATTAGACGCAAGGCTGAAAATCATCAGTATAAAAACAGTTCTGAAGTAATTGAGGATTTATCACGTGTAATCCGTTTTGTAGATTGTGGAAACAAATACTTCATTCAAAAGGACTATAATATCCACGACAAAATGAATCAAATATCATTCGTTCTTCAATCAAACATGAAAGAGTCACTCAAAATGATTAAATTATTTAAAGAAGAAGGTAAAACAATAACAGCATGGGATGTACTACTAAATCAATTGTCTTCATTAACTGTTAAGGGTGTTTGCTTTAAATCTGATTCTCCAGATGTTTTCTCAACGTTTCAAGGTTATAAATACAACGTTCTCGAAAAGCCTGATTACTCAAAAATTGAGATGTTTATGAATTTCATTAAAGAAGCCATTTGTGATAATAACGATGAAGTGTATAAATACCTTCTCGGCTGGATTGCATCAATGATTCAACATCCTGGAATCAAGAATGAAACAGCAATTATTTTGAAAGGACTTCAGGGAACAGGTAAAAACAGATTTACAGACATTATTTCTGAACTTCTCGCCGGTTATTCATGTAAAAACATTACTGAAATAAGTGAGCTAACGGGTAATTTCAATTCAGTAGTTGAGAATAAAATGCTTCTTGTACTTAATGAACTCAAGAATGTAGGTGAAGATAGACTCGCAAACTTCAACGCTTTGAAATCAATTATTACGGATAATGAGATTAGAATTAATGAAAAGAATCAACCCAGAAGAACTGCTTAGAACGTTGCAAACTTCATTTTCGTAACTAATAACGTCTACCCTGTCAAAATTGAAGTTGGAGACAGAAGATACGTAGTTTTAAGAGTTAATGGTAAATTCAAGGGTCAATTTGATTACTTCAAGAATTTAATGGATTCATGCACTAAGGAATTTTATGATAACCTTTTAACATATTTTATGCAATATGACCTTTCATCATTTAATGTACGAATCATACCGATGACTGAAGCCAAACAAGATTTAATAGAATTATCAACAAATCCTTTAGATGTATGGATAAATACACATTATGATGAATTGTGTGCAGGTATGACGTGTAAAAATGCTCTATTCTGCAAACCATCAGACATGAAAGACAAGAATTTTCAAATGAGCATTAAGGATAAATGTGATAGGAAACATAGAAGAATAGACGATAAACAAACATGGTGTTATGTTTTGAAAGAAGAAATGAAAGGATTATATAAACAGGTTGAACCAAATGATAATGATGATTCATTTACTGACGATGAAATACCTGTAAATGATGCTTTATAAAGTATGATTTGAATTTATTTTTGCCTTCCTCCTGCTGTGTTGTCAAAATGTCATGTTGTCTCATTTTTTCAGAGAAGTTAATTAACCTGGTAGCACATGGTAACATGGTAGCACCTTCAGTTCTTCAAAAATAATTCATAAATACCTTCCTCCTGCTGTGTTGTCAAAATGTCATGTTGTCTCATTTTTTCAGAGAAGTTAATTAACCTGGTAGCACATGGTAACATGGTAGCACCTTCAGTTCTTCAAAAATAATTCATAAATACCTTCCTCCTGTGTTGTCAAAATGTCATGTTGTCACAAACTTTAGAATGGCATAATTTAAATTTTTATTTTTATCATAAATGGATACCCCACAAGCTCAAAATTTACCACGAATCATAACAAGGGAGGAAACGATAAAAATGATGCGAGAACTTGCTAAAAATAACAAACCACTAAAACTGAGAAAATGTGGTTATGCAGTAATGATGGAAAGAGAGACGTTGTCGAAGAAGAATAAAAATTAAATTTGGATTGAGTTTAAAAATTCATCTTTATTAAATTCATCTCTTCCAATCAATTTATTTATTCTATTAAATTCTTTTATTTTTGCTTCACTCAGTTTAAGGATTGAACGGTAAGTTTCTAACTTTTCAATTATTTCCTTCTTCTCTTTATCGTTTTCAATTACTTTAGTTTTATGGGCATCAACCCCACCGCATTGCGGCTTCTTTTTGTAATAGCATATTTTTGATTTAATTCTGTTTAGTTTCTTTTTATATTCATCGTCTGGACTCTTGGCTGCTTCGTTGTCACTCATTTCTTACGAATTAAAAAAATTAAATATTATTTAAATATAATGGGGTAATAAAATAAATTGGAATTTCTATTAATTTATTGTCAACTTCAACTAATGCATTGCCGTTAATATATCTAACAAATTCAGCTATTGTGTCAAATCTTCGTCTTCTTTTTGTCATTGATTTATCAGTTTTTCCATAATCGAGATGAATCAAAACTTTATCCCCTTGTTTAAAATTCATGAGCCCCGAATTAATTTGTTCACGTTTAACATCATTCAACCTTTCCATTTGCTTTCTAATATATTCCCATTCTTTTGAAATATCATTTTTCATTTCCACTGGTTTCATGTTTATTGTTCTATGCCATGTATTATTGTAATAATATACTAACTGTTGTATGATGGAGTCATGATTTCCATCCCAGTATATCTGACCGTTAACCCCTAACGCATCTCTAAGAGTTCTCATTACCGCATCAACTATTTTATTATGAAACGTATATGGAGAGGATGAAAAGAAAAAATTAATTTGTGGGAAATAATGAGTCATAGTTGCCTGAAATCCTTTATCACCATCACCCCTGATATTATCTACTCTTTCATGATCTAGTAAGTATTGTATAGCTCTTCTTGTTTCCTGTTCTGTTTTCCCTTTCACTGGAATGCAATATAAATATCTAGTGTTAATGTTAATGGCAAATAAATAAGTAACGTTTCCTTTTGAATATTCCAGATGATCGATTTCGTATGAATATGGATATGGTGCAAATGAAGGGCGACTAAATTTTTCCTTTAACGGTTGAATTTTTGGGTCAATTGGTTTATTTAATATCTTGAAATCCTTTTTAAAATCTTTTTGCTTCTTTAATGTTTGAAATGGATATAATAAAGTGAATGATGAAGGATTAACTGAAGGAGGAGGAGGTACTGTCGTTGGAGGTTTTGGTGTTGCAAGTGGTTTAATTTTATCTGCTTTGATTTTGGATTTCATTCCCCCCTTCATTAATTCTGGATGTATTCTATTCATTTGTTTTAAATATGCTGTATATAAAGGTTTGATATACTTTCCCGCTTCGAGTTTATGTTGAAGGATGAATTCCAAAAGTTGATCTTCATTTAAAAGTCGGGCGGAATATGGTTTAACTAATGAATCATAAATTAAAGCTTGTGCTTCATTTATGGTCTGAAGGACCTGGGCGTTTTGCACCTTTTGTTTTTGTTCCTTTGGCTTTTGCGGCTCAGGATTATATAATTTATATAATTCATCAATATCTTCTTCTGTTAATACTTTATTTTTGAAATCTTTCAACTGTTTAAGTTGTGATTTAGTTTTTCCCTTTGAATATTCATTATTTTTAATTTTGTCTTTAATTTTAGAAATTATTCTATCATGATATTTCAAAATTTCATTTTTATAATATGGATAATAATATTCCATATCATCACCCGTTATATTGTTATCATATTTTTGGAGATATGCTTTTAAATCATAATAATCAAGAAAATTTTGATTAAATACTAAATCAGCAATTAAAATTTTTAAATCTACGTTATCCATTTATATAAAAATAAAATCAATGTTTTAAGGGTGCCCACCTCTTTTTGAATCATAGTATCAAAACCATTATTAACGGTTCCTTTTGTCTCTTCTGTGGCATTTCATTAAGAATAAAATTTTAAATTGTATTAAATAAATGGCATACAACATCCATTTTCACAACATACAGCCTTAGTGTGTGCTCCTGTTAATGCAGTCTTACCGATTGTTAAGCGAGTCATTGACCCGTTTTTAAGTTGTAAATTAATATTCTGACCATCAAATATCACTTTATCATTTATTATATCCAAATATTTTTTAGGTGTTAATTGCTTATTTTGTCTTAAACTAACACCCTTCATTTTTTGTGCAATCTTTTTAAAATCACTTCCATCAATTGAACCGTTGAATGATGTATAACACTTAGGACATAAAGCAACCATGTTATCACCTTGTTTCTCAATTGCTAAACCCAATAATTTTTTCTCATGTGCTTTTTCTTCAGCTTTATTCTTTAATTTAGGTTTAAATTTCTCATCAAAACAGAAGAAATCAAAAGGTGCGAATTTGAAAATGTTTTTATCATAAAATTGTTTATCGGTAACAATTGCTTGAAATGCTTGAGTGTTAGGAAGATTTGGGTCGCCAGCGATTGCCCAATAAGATGAATCAGTATCACCTTCAATGAAATGAAAACGATTAACATCCATGCATTTATACATAAAATCATAAATGAAAACTAAATACCAGTATTTAGCATTATCTAAAGTGAAGAATGCCTCTTGTAAACATGTATCACATCTATAAAATCTATCTTTGAGCATCACTTGATATGTATCTTCACCTATTTCTCTTATGTTTTTAAACTTATTTGACATACATGCAACGCGTGCCTTCTGTGCATTCATTATTTTAGTCTTTTTCCTTAATTTTTTCATCTATTTCATCTCTTATTTTTTTCAGTTTTTCAATTTCATCGTATTCATCATCATCTTTAATCCGTTCTTCATAATATTCAGGGAAAACATCAGGTTCTTTTGGTTTTTCTTCTTCAGATGTAGGATATAAGAAATTTATAACATCATCTTTATTCATTTTTCCATCATAATCTAAATCATTTAATAACTCAGCAAATTTTTGACAATTTCTTAAATAATATTTACTAACTTCATAACACATCTCATCTAATATATCCTTTATTTCCTCATTTGTGAATCCCAATTTTTTAACGTCGTTAGTTTTGACGCTCATTTCATACAAAATAAAAATAAATTATTCAAAAATGTAAGACATGAATTTTTAAAGTTTATTTTTTATTCATGAAAATAATTATATCTGATTTCTTTTACTCTCTCATACATACTAGATTTGAAGAATTCGGAACTTTTACCATAATCTCCTAAATGTTTTCTTATCCCTAACGTGTGCCAGTTATTATATGAAAATGAATAAACTTTATCTTTATCTTTACACCTTTCATCACTTCCAATATATTTATATCTCAGTTTTGATTTAGCATTTTCATATTCATTAACGTTTAATAATTCACAGTCTTCCTTTTTAAATAAATGTTTAAGATATTCAGGATTTAATACTCTACGTTTATATGCTCCTAACTTAGTTCTAAAGGTTTTTCTACAAAATTTAGGAATTCCATCCTCTTTAATGTCATCAATGATTTCCATTTCATTATTTTCAATTTCTTCTTCTCGTTTATGAGGTCTTTGATTATGACTCCATTGATTCCATGAAATTAAATATTCTTTATCATTATATTTATACCTCATTAGCTTATTTTGGCTTTCATATTCATTTAATAATTCACAATCTTCATTTTTAAATTGAAGTTTAACCCATTCAGGATTTAAACAATGTTTAATTAATCGCGGAATATCTGACATCATCTATATATAGCTTCTTTTATAAAAGATAAAAAATAAATTATTTTAAAATTAATGTTAATTTTTTAATGATTTATAAATAAATATATTTTAATGCATCGTCGATATATAGATGTAACAAAAAAAGTCACACAACCCTTCCTATCCTACTACTGTCTATAATTTCGTTGTTATATTTAAAAAATGAGCTTAGAAATGATTAGTAAAAGCGAAAGGGTTGATTGAATGATATGTATGTTAATGTCATCGATTTTTGAGAGGATAAATTCGCAATGCTTAGCTTCTTCTTTAAGAGGTAATTGAACAACAAAGAATTAATTATCATAAGATAATAAATATCAAATAGACAGATAATTGAGAAAAACGATAAAAATATTATGTTGAATCTATAGAAAAAAAAATAGTCATGAAAAGTGGATTATCGAAAAAAATTAGAAATATTAATAAGAAGATTGCAAAAGATTATTTATGTGAAAATTAAAGATGGAGTAAACTATAGAAACGTGCTGACGTAAAAATATCACTCACAAAATAGTAACGAATATAAAATTTTCATTGTGAATGAGGTTATATGAATACAGACATAGAAGATGGGAAGATAGCCGATCAAAATTTTGAAAGTAAATGAAATTGCTTTTTGAAAGCAAAAATAAAAACCATTTGGAAATAGGAAAGAATGGATTGAATTGAAATGATAAATGTTAATGCGCCGAGAATGCAATAAAGATTGTAAAAATTTTGAGAGTTAGATGGGCCGAAACCGGAAAAGATGTTAAAGTTGATATTTAATAATAATAGAGTTTGATGAGCAAATCTCTATTGATAGTTTTCACATTTATACAAAATTTTTTGAATCGTTCTCAAAAAGCAATTTGATTATTTGAAAAAGCGAGACTTTAAATATTATTAATCATTAATAATTTTAGTATATATTTTAAAAATAAAATGATATATATAATTAGAATTCAAATCTAATTGAATTGAATTTAAGGGTCCACTGTAAGGCCAAATAAGGCCTATCGTCGTCCCAAAAATATTGCTCAAGATGGTGTTTTTACTAAGGCCCAAAACTTAAAAAAGCACAAAAAAATTAACTTTACTCTTTTGAGATCCTTATCAGATATGCATCAATTTGATGCAGTATCGCAGTTCGAATCTGATTTTTTAATGTAGATATACTCTAACATTCTTGAAAAAATGCAAAATAATATTAATTAAGCTTTTCATTTCTGTATCATACACGAAACAAAATCATTCATTATACTAAACTTTATCAAAGTTTGAATAATGAAAAAAAAAATATATCTAAATTTTTACATTGAGTCGGCTATTGATATGGTTAATATTAAATCTTGTAACAACGGGCATTGGCCAAAATAATACCCGCTAAAATACACAATTTTTTAAAATTTTATCAATTTGTTATGGTGCATATTTATGACAATGAATAAAATGCTTATCCTTCATAAGTAAATACATAATTTATGCTTAAACACAAAAAATAACACGAAAATTGTTGGCCAACATATCAAAACTAAGGATAATGTTTTGAATATATAAGCAATAATACTTTGTCTAGAGAATTAAATTTGTGCTATCTAATTGTCAATTCTTTGAATTTTTTTTTAATGCAAGATATCCCGGCATTGGCCTCAATGAATATAAACTACATGCATCATAATATTAGTTTGTAATAGCATAAAAGCGAAATTCCTAATTTCTTCTCAAATAAATTCCTAAAAAAACATCGGAATTAATGATTGGAAATAGGTCAAAAAAATTCCTAATATAAAACTTATACTTAAGATAAAATCAAAATTCGAAAATATCTATTTTTCAAAACACGCATCCAAAAGCGAAAAAATTCGAAAAAATCATGTTCTTATAAAACTCGCCGATTTTGCAATTTTTATCCGATTTGAAGTGATAGAATATATTACCATCTTACAAAAACATATACTTCATTATTCCATTCACAAAATATTAATCAGAACACTAGGAAAAGTGTATTTTCGAAAAAAGACGATAACGATTATTTGCAAATCGCCTCTTAATTTTGAGAGACTTTCAATTTTTACAGTGGACCCTTAAATCTTTGAAATAAAATTACTAGATTGTATAATACTGAATATTTTTAAACTAAAAAATGTAATAAAAAACCACCATTCAAAAAATAATCTTTAAGAAAGTTATGATCCACTTTAATATATTGTATTCTGTCAATCAAATATAAGATTTATTGATCAAATCTCTAAGAACAACTGTTTGAAATTTTTCACAAAATATGATATATTTTTCTTGTTTATAATTAATACTTAATGATACTAAAAATTTGATTCAAATTTTGTGCCAATATATTTGTCCAATTTTCAATGATTCCAAATAATATTATTATTGTGTCCTCGTATTAAGCTAATATTCTCAAATTTTAGCAAAAAATCGTTTTTACGTTTTCCTTCAAAAAGCAATTTTGAATGGCGTTAAAATTTTAAATTATCAAAAATTGAGAACCTTTTCAAAAAATGTATCAATTGAGGAAATTTTTTTATTTCACATCATTTTTCTCAGAGATAATGAGTAACACAAGGCATTTCTTTACGCCAGCAGAAGATCAGATGATTCTTAAATGGAGAGAACGAAGCCCTGATGCTCCATGGGCTGAAATTGCAAAGAAACTTAAAAACAAAACAGCAAAACAATGCAATGATCGCTACAACAAACATCTCAAAATAGCAAGGAATGATGAACCATGGTCAGTTTCTGAAGATAGGCTACTTAAAGAACTCGTTGAAGAGCATGGCCACAACTGGGTTATCGTTTCCAAGCTTTTGGGTACCAGATCCAACATCGAAACCAAGAATAGATGGTCTGTTCTCGTCAGAATGCAAAACAGCTTGAAAAAGAAATCTAAGAAAGTAAAACCCAAGAAGCAAATGGAAACTCCAGCTCCAAGCGTGCCTTCTCCTACACCAGCTGAACCGCAAGCAACAGCTGAAGAGTTCGTTTTTTTTGACCAAGCATTTGGCGAAATTGAAAATAACTGGTTCAACTTGGACCAGCCCTTCAAAGCAGAAGTCGAAGATTTTAGCGAGACTTTCAATTGGTTTGTATGAAGTATAAGTAGTACAGTTTAACCAACAAAAAAGTCTTAATAATCTTCCAACGCCATTTAATTCCTTTCTTTTTTTGATTGGAAAGTTTACAATCATACCATGAAAAATAAACTATCCCTCAAAAAAATATTTCTTCTTCATGGGAAAACGTTTGTACTCGACAATTATATCTTGATTGTTCGATAATGAATTAATTATGATATTTGAATGCAGTAGAATGTTCTGGATAGTTGTAATCATGAATGAATTATCATAAGTATATGTCGAATTGATATTATTCAATCCGACCAATTTATTTATAATAAAGTAGTTCTTTTCTATCAACGATCTGCCATTGGCAACTTGTTTATATTTTCTTGTACAAACATTAGTTACCTAGTAAGCTCTTGAAATGGAAATTTTTATCCGAAAAGCAATCGATATTTATTTAAATACCGAATAACCTGCCTATCCTCTGGATAAATTAATAGAAATAAAATATCTATCCTCTTGCAAGTGATTATCTCATCTATTCATTACAAATTCATCAAGAGAATAAAATTTGCTAGGATAATTGTAATACAAATTAGCAAAAATGAGTTTTTGATGATATCCATCATTGGTGATTGATTAAAAACAATAGCTTATGTCCTTCAATAAGAAGATAAAAATTAATTGCTGAACTGTATGATATTTTAAAAGAATGCTATATTTTTGTGTATGAATGTTGAAGTTTGGCTATAGGAAGAAAAGCATGTTGAGTAATAACATCGCATATTCTTTATAAATAACAAACAAAATTTATAATTTAAGCTTCACCATCAAGTTTATAGTGAGTGATTTCATACCCCGGAACAGAACTGATAGGAAGTTTTAATATTGTAGAGTACAGACGATCATAAAATGGATTGTCATTGTAATTGCTCATGTAAACGCTATGATAGTTTGTAGACTTTTCTGCAGAAAACCTTTCTCCAGAAATTGCCTTCATAATTTCAAATTGATTCCGAACAAATCTTCTCCATGAATTCGGATCCCATGAGACGAATCTTTGAGAGATAATAGACTGTACAGCTGATAATGGTACGGCCAGTTTAATTGCATCTGAAATCATTTGACTTTTCATTCTACGTTCAACACCTCTATGATAATCAAGATTTGGACGATAGTTAACTTCAAGAACAAATGGATTCAATTGCTTATCGAAAATTATATCGAACCCAAAAATTTGGAAGCATCGACTATACCCACATGCTGGGCAATGAATACTTTCTGATGATGTTAGTAGATTTATTGCAGATAATATAGTTTTTGCTGCACAATCATCTACTTTATTCCAAAAATCTTCTTCTGACAAGCCCAATTTCTTAAGCTCGGGGAGGATCTCAACTATCATACGAGATATTATTTTGAAATCCGAGTTATGCTGCTTATTCAAAGTTACATTAGTTAGCCTGCTAAAAATAGGATCAATTCCCACTTCTTCGGAACAAAATCTTCCTAACCCATTTCTATAGACATAAATGCGCAGTGGTTTAATTGAAGCTACTAGAACATAAAATCGAAAATCAAATTTTCTGTTATCAATAGTAATTGAATCAATATATTCTTGTGCTACAGCAGGTTGACGAGGTACATCAATTTTTTGTCCGGGTTCTATAATAATAATTCCTTTTCCTAATGAGCCGCCATCGGGTTTGACAATCCAAGTTTTCTTTGTGGTTTTAAGTACTTCTATAAATTCATCGTATTGTTCTGGAATAATATATGATTTTGGGATGAAATTAAATTCGCTTGGAAAAATTTTCTGAATTTCTTGAGTTATCTTTGCTAGGGAAGCTTTTCTAGTTAAAACCGATGCGGATGGAATTCTATTTGTAACTTGCCATGGATAAAGTTTCTCCCAAAAATCTTTTTCTTTTAGTGAATCATGCCATTGCAAAATATGAACCATGTGATTTGGCGTAAAAGTTATCCCACAATTCTCAAGCCCCATCCGAACGCTTTCGAAGTATATTTTACCAGCCTTAGCAATAATTCTTGTCATAATGGTATTGATATTATTTTCAAATAATTTTTACTCTGTTATAGAAAATCAGAAAAATGTTGAACTGTATGTATTATGGGTGGGAATAAATTTAAACGATAGGATTTTAAAATTGTGGGAAAATGTGTAAAATAATTGAGAAAATTGAATAAATTGAATTCTGAAAATATTGACAAAATTTATTTGGAATATTAATCGATAAATTATCATGATTTTGATTAATAAAATTTGAATTGGATTCAATTATTTTCAGATCAGTTAAGTTCATTATTATTTAATACAATCAAATAAGACTTTTTGAAACCACTAATATTTTTTTGAAAAGATTTTGATGGATAAATTGTTAAAATGCATTATTTTTATTAAATTTGTAAACAGGATTACATGCAATATGAATTATCAAACTTAGATTCAAATTAATTGATTTTGAATTTTTTTTCAGGAAGATTTGTAGATTTTCCATATTAAAAATGAAACATCTGAAGTTTCTGTGCTCTACACATGCAGATCGAATTACTAAAGTAAAATTTTATTTAATTGTTTTTCAATTTCAAGTCGGTATTAACTAGTACTTGAAAATTTTAGAGTACTGGATGACAAACCATAGTAGGCCCAATTCTAATTTTGGCTCATTTTGTAAATTAGTTTCAAAATTTGAATTATATGCATTTTTCACATAGCAAACCTGAAATGAGGATCTTCTCTACTGGTATATGACATCACCATGTAAAATGTTTGTTTATTTCCTTGTTATTACTCTATTAATCTTAAATTTTGTGATTTTGATATAAAAAATTTGCGGGAAGTTTAAATTCCTTCATGTATATTAATCAAATCGCTATTTTGGCCATCTTGAGCCACTAAGAACAATTCCAAATTTTTTCGATATCTTCGATCTCCTGGAACTCCTCTCCAGTTTTGAATTTACTTTTTTTGATTTCGAAATTTTTTTGGAAATAATTGTATTGATTTTAAAAAAATTGGAATATTTTGGTTTTATCAAAATACTCCTAAATTTCGAATCCGTAGAATATATACAATTTATAGCGTCTTATAGGGGATATCTCGATAATCATAAAATATTCATAATTATGAAAAATTTATTATTTATATACCGAGAATAATGATTTTTTAAAATATTTTTTAATTTTCCTATACATGAGCTTTGTAAGTTCTTGACAAATGTAATTATGGAGAATCTTGTTAACGTCATTTTCTTACAACCATTCAAAATTTCTAACGGGACTACATCAGAGAATACAATAATGAGCAGGAAAATGTCAATAAGCTCTCCGAGCCTACTAAAATCTTCTAGTGGGTACATTTCTCCTGAACCGAATTTTGTTTTCTCTGAAGAGTTTTCTCATAGAATTCTATCATTGCTGAGAAAAGCTAATGAAACTGATCCAATTAATCTTGTTTTATCAGATTTTTCATTTAATTTTGTATATGAACAATGCTGCAAGAAACTTACAATCCAAAAACCAACTACTGCACAATATTTAGACTTAATGTACACAGATAATTTAATACAAATCGCTCAGTTGGTAATGTGGATTTCATTATATGATACAATCAATGAAAACATCCTTCAGAACGATATCAGATTAATACATCAAAGGCTTTATGATCGATTATCACTTGCTTTTTATTCTTTAAGCAAACAGTTACAAGAAGTATCATCCATGGCAAATCAACGTCTGATTGACTATTGGTCATCAGCCATATGCGCTACTATATTACAACTTACTGTTTCTGAGTTTAAAGGATCTGAAACAGATAATAACTACGAGTTTGTTGAAACAATAGAGCGAGGCGTTAGAAAAATGCTCCTCGGCTTCCCTCCTGCTAATATATTAGTATTTCACGAATCAGTTCTCGCATTAATTTCCTTAAAAGCACAAAAATTAGTTCCAAAGACCTTTACACCATCAGCTAACCTTAGTTTATTTGATACTGGCAACACTACTACTACAGAATTGATCGGAGCAATGACAATCGAAAACCATTACGAGACAGTTCATCGAAGATCCCAAGAAGTTGTCTTTAAATCAAACTCTGGTAATGCGTTAATTCAAAATGCAATGCGGTTAACAGGCATGAAAGAACCTGTAGAAGCAAAAGGTCTGACATTTCGAAAAGGAACGACAGAAGTTAGTAACATGGTAATGAAAAAATGCAGTGCTATAATGGATGCAAGTCTTGCACGTGTTTCGGAACACGCTGACGATAGAGATTTACATTTATTAGAAATATGCGATAGCGAAAGAGCCTGTAACAAAAAACTAAGAGACGCTAAACTCAAATCTCTTGGTGTTACATTTGAAAACTTTGGTTATAATCCAATGTACGGTAGACTTGTTCTTGGAGGACTCCCTCCGCCAGCTGATTTGCAAGGAAGTGCTAAAATGTCATGGAGAGCTCAGACAAAAGTAGTTAGAAAACCTAAACCAGAAAAAACTATAAATGAAATTATATCTACAATTAAAGAAGCTCATCCTGTGATTCTCCGTACTGGAATTGCATAATTCAGCTATTATTTTGTTTGTTTGTTGTAAAAGGTTATTGTTATTTAATTTTTTTTTTGAACAAAAATCTAAACATTACTTTCATTTAACTAATTTACATGTACTTGCTGAATATCATATGATTGACTTTTCTTCGATTTAGAAGATATTAAAAGAAAAACAGAATAATTTGGGAAAAATAACATACATAACAAAAGATTTACATAACAAAAAAGCTTAGTTATCTTGAGGATGTAAGTCCGGGAGCATTGATTGCTGTTTTGGAGCTTTCTTGACTTCTTTCATATGAAGCCAAGGATGCTGTAGAAGTTGCGTTGCTGTTGTTCGTGCAATAGGATCCCAAGTGAGACATCTAGCAATAAAATCTTCGTAAACAGGGTCGTTTGACTTGAGAGCTCTTGAAAGAGGTAAAGAACCAGGGATTCGCTTTCTTACAGAACGACTTTGCTTAAGATGTAGTTGCTCGTCGAAGAATTCATTCTTTCTCTTACCTTGTCGAACTAATCCTGCGTTTGGATTTCCAAGAACTTCAGCGATCATGGTAAGCTGTTCAAGTTCATTTTCACCAGGAAACAATGGTTTTCCAAGTAATAATTCAACAACAATCAAAGCAAAACTCCAAATATCCATCGGAGGACCGTATTTCACTCCAATCATAACTTCTGGAGCTCTGTAGAATCTACTTTGTATATATTCATATTTCTGATGTCCATCAAAACATGAACTGCCAAAATCAATCAATTTACAGTGTACTTTGTTATCTGGACAAACTAAAACATTTTCTGGTTTCAGATCGCAATGAACAATGCCTAATCTATGACATTGTTCGATTCCTCGAAGCATTTCTGTTGCATATTGTCGTACTAATTTAACTGGAAGAGGTCTGTAGTTATTTGCTTGCGAAATCTCATATAAGTTTTTGCCAAGAATTTCATAAGTAATGCAAATGTGAGATCTGAAAATGAAAAAGTCATACGCCCTTACGATAAATGGCGAATTCGATTTGTTGAGCTTGGCAAGAATTTTGGCTTCAATTTGGCCTTGTTCATGCATTTGTTCGGTACTTACAATGATTTTGACGGCAACTTTCTTTTTAGCTTTGTGATCATAGCATTGTAGAACTTGGCCAAAGGCTCCAGCTCCAAAAGACGATAATATTTCAAATCTGTATGCTAAATGATCGCCAGATAAGAACTTATAATTGTGATTTGAGTCATCGAAACCGAGATTATGCTTATCATTTTTGTTCGGCTCGAATTTTTTGCTTCGTTGGCCCAAATAGAATATTTCAGGGAACTGGTGAATTTCGGTTCTTTCAAAGTTTGTGAGTAGTGGCGAATACTTTTGTAAAGCCTCTGGAGGAGTTATGGGTCCATTGGGAACTACTGGACTTAGAACGGAGTTTCCAGAACGAGCAGTAACAGGTACAGCTTTTCTGAATCGGGGATTTGTGGAATTTGGTTGATTTCGAGTAGTTTGCGGAACTTGCTCGGGTTCAACAACTTTTTGCTGCACAACATGACGACGACGTGGAGGTTTATCAATTGGAGGCGGTTGACCAGGAATTGCTGGTATATGACGCACATTATGCGCCACAACACCAAGCATTTGTTTATATCCTCAGAAAATTTTCTCATAATACGTTACTAATTGAAAAAAATTATTGCATATTTTGACAAATTAATATTTATGATAAAAAAAAAAAAAAAAAAAAAAAAAAAAAAGGGAAGTGGGGCTTCCAGGCACTTCGTGCCCTCTAGCCCCGAAGATGTTTAGTATAAATGAAGTTCTTATATACGGGTCTTCCAGGAGCTTTTCACAAATTATATATGTTTTCATGTTTTGTCAAGACTTCTTCGTAAAATCAGACAAAAATAATGTTTAGGGTAGAAGGTTAGATATAACCTCTTTTCTAACCTCTTTTCTACCCTCTTGAATTTTCAAGACTTCTTCGTACATGTTTTGTCACTTTTCTGTCACTTTTCAGGAAAAAACATTTTTATTATATATATAAAATGAATTTTACAAAACCACCGTTACCCTTCTTTGGAAATAAGAGTAGATGTAAAGATATTCTATTGAGAGAACTTAAGAAACTACCGAATGGTCTAACATTTGTAGACTTGTTCGGTGGAAGTTTCTATATATCTCATTTGTGCCATACAATATTTCCTGACTCAAAGATTATATGCAATGACTTCGACAACTATATGAACCGTCTCAAACATATTCCAGACACAAACAATATATTGAAAGAGTTAAAAGAAAAGATACCTATAGGTAAGATGGAACGTATACCATTAGATAAGAAAAATACTGTCAGAGAGGTTTTGAAAAAGGCAGAGTATATTGACTGGGATAGTATATCTGCTAGACTATTATATAGTGGTGCTATAAGAGTTCATGACATTGAAACACTTATGTCAAAAGTTTTATATCTTAACTATACAAATGTTTTCAAAGAGAACATAGAAAAATATATTGAGGGTATAGAGTTTGTGAGATGTCATTGGACAGAGTTGTATGAAAAATATAAAGACAAGGAAAATGTTTTCTTTATAGTGGACCCGCCGTTCTATAACACATGGGATTTTCAATACCAAGTAGACTGGACTTTGAGAGACTCTTTAGAAACTTTAGACGTTTTACATAACCATCCATGCTTTTACTTTACATCCGATAAAAGTGGTTTGGAAAGTGTCATGAGATGGTTAGAGGACATACATGACTATGAGTTTAGATACGATAAGATAGAATATGAGAGAGGTCCTATAAACTGGAGAAAGTGTCATAACAAAGAAATTTTACTAGTAAGTAAATGTGGTTTGAAATAGGACTACTTGTTTTAGGTTTTTTCCATTGTGTCATTTACTTATTTGACGTGGCAGAAAGATATAGAGAATATGAAGATGAACCAATGTCTGCAAATGTTCAGCATATGTACTCGTAAGAGATATTTTTATCTAATATTAAATGGACGCACAGAACTTAGCGAATGCACAGCAACCTGGACAACCAAACCCAGAGAATATTCCAAATGAAGTTAGAATACAAACTGCAATGGCAAACTATGGTCAAGTGCCAACAGATGTACAAATGCAAACTGCCATGTCAAATGACGCTGCGTTAGGTTTGCCACATGGTATGCAAATATGAGATGGAAAGAGTTTTATACAACCCTGAAGTGGGATATAAACAACTCTATGCAGATGACGCAAACACAGGAGTTGACCCAGAGTATGTTTTCTACACAGAGAGAATAGAATGTATGAGCTCCAGTTAAAAATGCTATGGAACTCAACAGGAAACGTAAGAGACTAGGCGGACATTAGATTTTACATATAGTAAAATGGGTTCTTTGGAAGAATAGGAAACTTCTTTCGAAATGTTGGAAGAGGTATATGGAATGGAATAAAAACCGTAGAAGAGGAATTTGGAACGGAGTCAAAAATATTGGTAAAAGAGTAGGTCAGTTCGTTGGTATTATACCTAAAGACCCTGAACCAGAAGAACAAGCTCTGTTATACAACAGCCTGAACCTGCACCACAGTCAAGTTGGCAACCAAATCCAACACCTCAACCGTATTAAAATCATATTTTTACCGTTCGATAGTAGTTGTATATGAGACTAAGTTCTAAGTAAAACGCATGGTATAATGGAACTATTCTCTTTCTTCCATCTGTTGTAAACCATACTTGAAAGTCTGAAATACTTCCACTTGGTGGTTCATATAGCTTTGTAGGTTTTTCGTAAAGTCATTTGCCAAGCATAAAAAAGAGTTTTGTGCACCAGAAAATGAAGCATGAACTATAATAGCATCTGAGTCGAAAACATTTTCATATGTTCCATTAGGTTTTCGACTTCATAAAAGTTCGGGTGTACTGGATATTCTGCAGGCTGATTTAACATCCTCAAAAATCTATACCATGCCAAGTTGTTATATTTTGTAGAATATAAACGTCTTCTCCAAGGTCTTCTATTCTATTGATTTTAACAGTTGCATTTTTCCCTGTCATATATAATATCGAGATGGTACTCTCCTTCGTCAATGTTGTACTGTTTTTGCATATTCGAGATAGATATCGTTTATTTTTTCTTGAAAAGCTTGAAGAGTTGTTTCTAAGTTTACAAGCAAATTCACTTGTAAAAGTTTTCCCTGTTCAAATTTCTCATACGTATGTTTTTCTTTGTTATAGTATCGAATTTCAAAAGCGACCGTAAATGGGAAACCATGTATGGCTTCTGAAATGAACTTCATTCTACGAAAGCCAATAGCTTTTGTGACGATGGGTCTCTTAGCCATCTTAATGGGTAGTCAAAACGATAGCCTTCATGCTTTACGGTCTCTGTCTCAAACTTTTGACCGACATTAGTAAAAAGTTCATCTAATGGTTTAGTTGTAGCAACTCTTGAATTTTCTTTTTCTATTGAAAGCATATTTTATCTAGAATAAAAATGTCGAAAGAAACAGCGTCTATGAGAGAAATACAACACAACCGACAACTCATTTGTGCAAGCTCTAAATAAGAACAAACAAACTTTTCAAACTATTCTAAGATATCTGAGTCATTGAAAGAAGGAAACTTAAAACTGACGATAAACCCATTGACAGACGAGTTTCTGTTTCAAGACAGTAAGAACCATACTGTCTGTGTAAATCCAACAAAAGGAACTTTAAACGAGAAACCTATAGATGAACTTCTTTTGAAGGCAGATATTGACAACAAAGCTGACAAAGAGTATGTAGATGCAACAAGAGACTATATTCTCGCATGGACAGATAGAACATACCCACAAAAACATCATACACATAACATCTATGACGTAGATGAACTACCAGCAATGTTAGATGACAAAGCGGATAAAACATATGTTGACAATAAAATGTCAAGTGAAGTGACAAGAGCTGACAAAGAATATTCTAAAAAGACTCATACACATACCATTGCAAATATTACAAACTTACAAGAAACCTTAAACAGGAAAAGTGACGTTGGACATACACACGATTTCTTCGCAACTGTTGGTATAGAAAATATTGAAGGAACGGTTGAAGAAACTGGTGGGGATGTATTAATTGGAAACCTCCTAACTTTCCACAAGGTTTAACATCGGATGAAGACATAACAGATGAGATACATTAGATGTAGAAATGTCTATGTCATGGAGGATGAAAACAAAGTTAAATTCACTGCTCAAGATTTATATGATAAAAAAGCTGACAAAACAGAGCTTCAAACGTTAAAGACAGAAATACTTCAAACAGTATATCCTATAGGTTCTATTTACACGTCAATGAACTCTACCAGACCAGAAGTAGTACTTGGTTTTGGAACTTGGACTCAAATAGTCGACAGGTTTTTGTATTGTGCAAACTCTTCAAAGGAAACAGGTGGAAGTAAAACGATTTCAGGTGAAAATTACCTGCGCACAGTCACTACATAGATTTAAGTACATCTCAAGCAGGTTGGCATAAGCATAAATTTTGGGATTGGTCAGAATGAAAAAGGTAAAGGATATGATGTTAAAGACGACGTTAGTTTGCTATAAATTGTTACTGGGTACACTCAGGGAGAGGAAACCATACACATCGCGTTTCAGGGTATACGCAAACAACGGGACAAAGTAAAGACTACATGCCACCTTACATGACAGTTTACGCATGGTATAGAATTGCTTAGTCGTCATTTTCAACTTCTTTAGCATATTCGTCAGGAGTTGTCTTATATTTGTTAGGAACTGTCTTTGAAAGTATACCACCTTGAACTTTGACAAGTTTGAAACGAGGTCTGACAATAGTAGTTTTATCTTCTGCTTGCAGTCTGTACATTTTGCCATGTTTGCCTAAAACTTCATAATATTCTCTTGTATACTTTCTTCTATTTTTACGAACACGAATGGAGTACCTGTCGAGTTCCCATTGTTGTCATAGTCAATAGTATTTTCATATGGGTCGCGTTTAGGTATTTCTATTTTTACTTTGTCACCTTTCTTAAGTTTGAAGCCTGGCATTCTTTCTTGTTTGTCTCTTTTGACTAAACTATTAAATATA